TACTACAGGTAGTCGTAAAGTAAATCAATCTATGCATAATAAGAGCATAGTCAGTGTCATAATTCGTATTACCAAAGAACACATTAGGTTCAGTAACTGAGTGTTATAAGGGAAATAAGAGCGGTAAACCAAGAGAACATTTGCCGCATAAGTATTTTAATCATTTTAGGTACTTTAATGACAATCTAATTTCAAGTATTGAACCTACATAATTACTGAGTGTTATTATATTGGTATTGGGACTAGTGTACTTTCCGTAGTTAAATATTGAAAAGCCATTGTCTCTCCACTCTACCAGCAGTTGAGATCTTTGAGGCGGGCTAGGGTGGACATGTTTATATGTTTTTCTAGGCTCCTTTTGAATAGTATAAAACATCCTTTTCACTTATGTACAATCGTTTCTGTGCATAGTTGGAAAAATCCGCTAGATTGTCAGTGAGTGCAACACATCATGAAATACAGAAATATTGTCTTCGCATTAACAAGAAAAACCAGGTCTTTGGTGGATGGGTTATAAGTGCCTGGGAATAAAAATAAAGCTTGAAGTCTGTTTTCATACATAATTTTGTTGTGTACGGAATCCTGGGATTTTAGTTCATTGATGTGTTATTTTGAAATCAGTGATATGTTTATCTCATTTGATCTGCAATGTCATTGTTGGGAGTAAAATACATAAGCTTTAGACGCATTAATTAATGGATTTCTACTGCTTGTGGGTATTTACTTCTCGTGAGGAAGGTTTTTGAATTTTAGTTGTTCCGACAGGAGTTGTGGATATTGACTGCTCAGCAACATTATGGATATAAGTTCATCACATTATCTCAGGAATGTTGGGTTGTAGTTGGTGAGGCATATATGATGTCCGACGAGCGTACATCTGTCCATGTGATGTTGTGGTGAGTTATAACCTTTTTCATGTTGTCGGTTTATGTCCATTTTATTCCACTTATTGTGTTGGGTAGAAGTTTTACAAACGAAACTTCTTGTCTGTTTGAGGGTAAGTATCTTAATCGTTATTGTTTTATCTAAAATTATAAATATAGGCAAAAACAGCAGGTGTAGTATTTAAGCTTATACATTAAATGGACCTATTATTTCGGAGGCTCTCAGACAGGAACTAGGACTACTGTCGTTTGCAAACTCGTGTAGTTTGTCGTTAAGCTCTTTTTTGAATGAGGCCAATGTACCTGCTTGACGCATTTCCATTGGTAGTTTATTCCATATCTGTGCATACCTAATCAAATAAAACTTTTGCCTGGTAGCTGTTTTACATTGTTCGATAGCTACTGTACCCTTAGTGTGTCTTAGTTTGTAGACACTGTCATCTGAAAGTCGAATGCCATTAGTAGAGGTAAAAACTAAGTGGTTTAGAAGCTTATAGTAAAGTGTTAAGTTTAGTCTCAGGCGTCTTAGCCATAGTGTTTCTAACCCTAGGGTATCACATCTAGTGGAGTAGTTCGCACCATTTTCGGTTCCGAGTAATTTTGACGTGAAGTACCTCTGCACTCCATCGACTTTCAATTTGTCCTCTATGCGTATACTACTATACATGAATGAACAGTAATCAAATAAAGGACGCACATAAACCTTGTACAACAGAATTCTGGACTCATTTCTGTAAAAGTTCTTGAGTAGAAAGCCGATAAGTCTACGTGACTTTGACACTTGTTTGGAGATATGTTCAGAAAATGATAAGTCATGTGAGTATTTCAGTCCTAGGTCAAATACAGATTCCAGTCGTAAGAGTGCATGGCCTTGAATTGTCAGGTCAAGTTCTAAATTGTTGCAACCTATGCAGAGCCAGCCACGTTTGTCGACATTAAACTGGAGTTGCCAGGTGTCACACCATCTGTCCATTTTTTCTAATTCTTGCTGTATAGCGTTTACTGTTATCCCAAGATCTGTGTTCTTGCATTTATAGGTCACTTTTAAGTCATCTGCATATAGTATTGGTTTACCAACACTAAAGCATTCAAAGATACTGTATATATATATTATGAATAGGAGTGGGCCTAATACACTTCCCTGGATTACACCGCTACTTACTGGTTTAGGCCTTGAGATTATCGAGCCAACTTTTGTTATCTGATTCCTGTCACAGAGAAATGATTTTATCCAGCTCAGGAGAGGGTCACATATCCCTAGTGAGCATAACCTGCTGACTAGCAGATTATGGAGGACTCTATCGAAGGCTTCTGTTATATCGAAATATAGCACAATTACTAGTTCTCTGTTGTCTCTGCTTCGTGTAACTTCATTGAAAAAGTCTATGTGACAAGTCACACATGATCTCTTTTTGAGGAATCCGTGTTGTGATGGATTGATAAGTTCATGTTCTAGTAAGTTGTCTGACACTTGGTCTTTGACCACTTACTCCATTATTCGTGATTTTACCGGTGTTATATTAATAGGTCTATAGTTGCATGCACTGGTTTTGGCCCCTGCTTTGTGCTTAGGTAATATGTATGTGGTTTTCCACACTTCAGGATAAGTTCCAGTTTCCAGTGACAGAGTAAATATTCTAAGTAACAAGACTACCATTTCCGTGCTACCATCTCTCATCACATATATTAAGTCCGATAGAAATAAGTGTATTAGAAAAGGGACTAAACTTCAATGTAGCGGTGGACAAGCTAAAACCTGAGGATGTCATCCCTAAAATAGAAATAGCACTAAGTGGGATAGACAAAACAACAGCTGAAGAAGTACGTGCACAATGTGCACTTACATTAAAACGACAAAAATGTGGAAAACCTAACCTGACAAAACAAGAGACAGAAGCCCTAAAACACCTCAAGAATAACAAGGATATAGTAATCTCAAAGTCAGACAAAGGGAACGCAACAGTAGTATTAGACAAATCGGATTATTTGGACAAGGTAAATACTCATGGAAAATTCCCATTGTAACATTTAGAAAATCAAAACAAGTGATTCAGCGAAGAGACTCTTTTCAACGAATTTATCATCAAGCTGTACAGTCGTATATATAATAATAATAATAATTTTTATTTCTGTAACAGAAACCAGCCATTTTTACAGGCATGAACATATGTACATTTATGAAAACTTATAGAATATATAATATGATTTGTTAATTTAGAAATAAGTTGAATACTGGTAAATGTGAGAGAAACATTTAAAATGAAGTGTACAAATAAGGAAATAGATATAGCGTCAAATCTAAACTGTGATTGAAAAAAAAATACATGTCAATTTCACGCGGGAACCATAAATGGTTGCGTTAGTTGAGGAAGGTAAGTGGCATTTCTGTACAGGTGCTGACGTATTACATAAGAGATGCAGAATAAACAATAACTATCAGTAAATCATTCAGAAAGAGCTTTAAAGTCTATTAAACTTTAAATTTACCCGTAAGTACATCATATTTGTGACATTTCCAGTTGTTTATGAGACCCACTTTGAACTTGTCAGCAGATTTTATAATACCGATGATCCCGTTATTCACCAGATGAGCTAGCAATATCACGAATAAGTAGAGAAAGCAGTATGTTTGGAAAGAGAAGAAGACACAAGAAAACCAGCAGACAGGTGCAGATCTGCACCTTCAGCATTTAAAAGGTGTTAATAATTCAAAATATATAACAGGCATGGGGTTTATCGTTTTTTATTGTTTTTTTTCAGGAAATATTATTTTCCCGATATTTTACAGTCTCTTCTGCGAACAATTAGTTTAAAGTGAAAGACAGGTGATAATTTCACCTACTTACGAGGTTTAAAAGGAGTAAAACACAAAAGTCAGAGTGCGTGAGCTATGTAAAAGAAAAGCGAGGGCCTAGTAATGTATGTTTTTCTGAAGTATACAGTTCGGTGTCCTTCTGAAGTAGCGGACTCATACCATTTACTTTCATTCGGGAGTTTGCGTCTAAACTTCGGCTCTAGGCAGTTTTCAACTAATATTTCTTTTTTCATTATTTTTTTTATATTTTTAGTTTTTGTTTATTCTCATTTTGAAGAAGCCATCCGAACTCAGGAGCCATAGCAATAGAGTGCTGTCCCACAGATAAGGGTGGTCCACATATGTCCCCACCATCATATCCCCTGACTAGCAGTCACCACCCTCCCACCTTTTTTGTGCAAGGCCCTGTCGGAATGCTTCATTTTTTTAAAATTATTTATTTATTTTTTAAATTTCTGTTGCAAAATGCCACAAACTTTTTGTTTGTCCAGCTATTTATTCGTCGACTTACTCAAACTTATGGTATGAATGACTACTTTCAGAAGAACATCATGTATGTTTCATCTTTTACAGCATTTTGAAGACGAAAAATGTAAGAAAGAAAGGCTATCTGAGACTTCATTTTAGATATAAACAAATGTAGTTTAGAAAATCAGGGAGTAATCGTGCAGCATTGAGCAAATAACCAGTGATAAGTTATAATATGTTGTTCTAGAAAATTTGAACATACAGGATTATAGTAATAGAATAGTAAGATAAGATTCATTTTAGATATAAACAAATGTAGTTTAGAAAATCAGGGAATAATCGTGCAGCATTGAGCAAATAAGCAGTGGTAAGTTATAATATGTTGTTCTAGAAAATTTGAACATACAGGATTATAGTAATAGAATAGTAAGATAAGATTCATTTTAGATATAAACAAATGTAGTTTAGAAAATCAGGGAATAATCGTGCAGCATTGAGCAAATAAGCAGTGATAAGTTATAATATGTTGTTCTAGAAAATTTGAACATACAGGATTATAGTAATAGAATAGTAAGATAAGATTCATTTTAGATATAAACAAATGTAGTTTAGAAAATCAGGGATAATCGTGCAGCATTGAGCAAATAACCAGTGATAAGTTATAATATGTTGTTCTAGAAAATTTGAACATACAGGATTATAGTAATAGAATAGTAAGATAAGATTCATTTTAGATATAAACAAATGTAGTTTAGAAAATCAGGGAGTAATCGTGCAGCATTGAGCAAATAAGCAGTGTAAGTTATAATATGTTGTTCTAGAAAATTTGAACATACAGGATTATAGTAATAGAATAGTAAGATAAGATTCATTTTAGATATAAACAAATGTAGTTTAGAAAATCAGGGAGTAATCGTGCAGCATTGAGCAAATAACCAGTGATAAGTTATAATATGTTGTTCTAGAAAATTTGAACATACAGGATTATAGTAATAGAATAGTAAGATAAGATTCATTTTAGATATAAACAAATGTAGTTTAGAAAATCAGGGAGTAATCGTGCAGCATTGAGCAAATAAGCAGTGGTAAGTTATAATATGTTGTTCTAGAAAATTTGAACATACAGGATTATAGTAATAGAATAGTAAGATAAGATTCATTTTAGATATAAACAAATGTAGTTTAGAAAATCAGGGAGTAATCGTGCAGCATTGAGCAAATAACCAGTGATAAGTTATAATATGTTGTTCAAGAAAAGTTGAACAGAGAAGATTATAGTTATAGAATAATAGGATAAGAAAATTCACCGTTTATTTGAATATTTAGACAACTACCATTTTGGCCTTAATTTGCGTAGAGCTAGACGTATAGCACTAGGCAGGCTCTGGAGATATTTTAATACCAGTCGTCTTCAGTTGATTTGCATCTGGAATTTGAGATTGAACCTTAGCATACTGAAATACTCATAATACAATATTATCAGGGATATATGCAAAAATATTTGAAGGAAATTAAAAAAAAGTTTAAAATTTAAGGCTGATTAAGAATAGGTGTCTAGGGTTGTGAAAGCAATCATAGTGAAAGTGACTGTCACACATAGGGTTTACAGATTTCAGGAGCTAACAGTGAGGATCAGAGGAGTGCCGTATTAGATCTCTAATTTTTAGTTTGTCACATACCCCTTCTAACCCGTTGTTAATGAAATATTTGTTCAGCAAAGATGAGAAAGTTTTTGGGGTAGGACTGTCTCTAATTTCAGTTGGAAGACGGTTCCAAATGCAACGGTATCTCACAGTGAAAGAGTTTGATCTGTATTTTGTATGACAGCGGGGAACTTTAAAAGAAGAAGATTTATTTCTCAGGTTATATTTCTTAGGTGAACTGAAAGTAAAGTCATTGTGGGGGAAATATATAAGCCCTTTGGCAATCCTAAATGTAATTTTTAGGTTGAACTTCAGTCGTCTAACCCATAAGGGTTCCAAGTCGAATAGATTACATCTGTCATAGTAAGAGATGCAAAGATTATCACCTACTAGACGTTTAGTAAACGCCCTTTGTAGACTTTCTAATTTGCATCTGTCTTTTACGGAGACACTGTCCATGATAGGGGGACAAAATTCAAGTAAGGGCCTTACGCACAACTTGTACAGCATTATTTTGGATTCACTGGTCTTAAAGTTTCGGAATAAAAATCCAAAGAGCCTTTTGACCTTTGATACTTGTAATTTAACGTATTCAGCCAGGCTAAATTCTGGAGTGTATTTCAGACCCAAGTCTGTTGTAAGCGGCAGACGAGGAATATGTTTGTTGTGTAGGGAGATGGAAAGTTCAGATGAAATGCTTTTGGAGCATAGCACACCACATTTTTCAACGTTAAACTTCATTTTCCATGTGTTACACCATAATTGGACGCTCTCAATATCATCTTGAATCCTACTAAATACACATGACACTTCATTTCTGAGTGAGTGATACACTATTTTGATGTCATCGGCGAATAGGAAAGGTCTGCCATGTTTAATAACGTCGCAAATGTCATTGAAATATAACAGGAATAGCAGTGGACCTAGGACACTACCTTGTATAACTCCACTTGTTATCCGAACGGGGTTGGATGTGTGGGAACCTAACCTGACCATCTGCATCCGGTTGCTTAGAAACGAACTGAGCCAGCTTAACAATGAACCCTGTATCCCATAGGACTGGACTTTTGATATTAACAGTCGGTGGCTTACAGTGTCAAAGGCTTTACTAAGATCTAAGTATACGACAACTGTGATCATACTGGAATCTTTAAGTTGTGAGATGTGGTCGAAAAATTGTAAGTGGCATGTCGTACAAGAACGTGACTTCATGAAACCGTGTTGATAAGGAGTGATAAGTTTCTCTTGAGAGAGGAAGTCAAAAATGGCACTTTTCACGATCTTTTCCAGAACCCTTGAAATAACAGAAGTTAGGTTAATGGGTCTGTAACTCATGACACTTGAACGGGAGCCTGACTTATACCTAGGGGTAATGTGCGTGGTTTTCCATGCATCTGGATATGTTCCAGTTGATAGAGAGGTAGAGAACAATTTAAGAAGGAGAATAGGAATGTCTTCACCACCGTATTTTAAAAAAGTTGAGGGAACCATATCAGGACCTGGGTTGTTTGAACTTTTAAGAGAAGTGATTGCTTTCTTAATATTATCTAAAGAAAAGCTGATAATTTCTAAGGTTTTTTGTGAACGTACAGGGAATAGAGGTTGTGGCAACGTATTATCATCATAGGTATATGACTGTGAGAAATGGGAGTTTAGAAGCTCACAAATTATTTTAGAGTCACTAGTGGTTTCGCCATTTTCTAAAATGAATTGTATATCCGTTTTACGGGAGTTTAGCCTTTTGCGATAAAGCCTACAGATTGCAGTGTATTTAGAGCTATCTTTAAGAGCTGCATGTTCTTGTCTGAGTAGGGCTTTGTCGTTATTTTCTTTCAAAGCTAGATAAATGTTCTGTATATTTAGAAGGCATGAGAAGTCGTTTTCTCTGTGGTACTGTCGGTACAGCTTTCGCAGCTTAGCCTTTACTTTTATAGGAATGAAATTCTTTATGTTTTCTCTTGGGTTTTCTTTACATTTAGGAACGAGATTATCAAAGCAAATAGATACATTCTGGTAAAAGGCTAGTAGGACAGTGTCTAGGTTGCTATTAGAAAAGAAAAGATCCCAGTCTAAGCTTCTAATGAAGGAGTTAGATACGTCCCACCTAGCTTTTCCGAAGCACATGAATGTCTTGCGCAGGGTAGAGCGTTTTGATGAGTGAAGCTTGGTATCAAGGGCGCAGATTACTGTGTTGTGGTCACTACCAGGGAATGGTCGGCTGATGTCTATGGTAGATAAGGCGATGTCTTTCAAGAAAACCAAGTCCAGTATATTTTGGTTTCGGGTGGGCCTTAGAATACTTTGTGTCCACCCACATAAATCAACTGCATCTAAGAATTTGCTGTAGCGGGGAGGAGCACTGATGGGCTCCCATGAAACTTCTGGCATATTGAAATCACCTCCAATCACTTTATAAGTAAAGTTCAATTTCGAAGTGTAATGGAAGGCTGCAGTTATCTGGCTTAGCAGTTCACTGTCGTGGTTGGGTGGGCGATAAATGCAACCTAATAATAGGGTTTGCTGTTTATTTATGTAGAGTGTCACCCATAATGTATCACATATATCCAGGTTGGGGTCATCATAGTGCACAGCTCTGCAGTCAGATTTAACATAGATAATGCATCCTCCACCCCTCCCAACTGATCTGTTCTTCCTGAAAAATGAGTAACCTTCGCAGTGAAAGAAATCATCATTTATTTCGCTTGTGCACCAAGCTTCAGTGATCATTAGTGCTGTAGGTTGGCTAATCAGTAGTAGGGATTGGACGTACGCCATTTTGTTTACAGCTGACCTGGCATTAATAAGGACTATGTTAGGATTAACCGAGTCATATCTTAAGATTTTAGCCATGTCTTGAAGTAGCTGGTGATGAGATTCAATCATAGTGTCCTCAGACGACAATGAAATATCTATGTCTGTAGATGCCCTAGGAAAGCTAGAAGTCCAGAGAGGGTCAGTTGTATTTCCGAGTTCAAGTAAGTTCGGATGTAAAGAAGATTGGCTATCAGAAGAAAAGGATATAGAGGGTTTTTGACGAAGAAGAGAATTGTCTGAGTCATGTAAAGTGAGCTCTAGGCAGTAATTAGGTATTGCTGTATGAGCTGTCATATCTATATTGGGGGGCGAAACCTGTGGAGAGTGGTGAGCATTTGTAGTATGTTTGAGGTCATGTTGTGAACCTGAATAAAAAATGGTAATGTCGTTTCAGCGAAATTGCTGATCGTTGGATGGTCAGTCCCGTTGAGTATGGGCATGTAAATAGGTGGAGGTGGCCTACCAAGCAAGCTAAACTGACTCGAATTTTTGCGATTTACTTCACCACTATTCGACGTCCTATAGTTAGGTGTATCAATCTTTCGGTTTAAAGTGGTGGGAGGGTTTACTTTTTTGGACAAGTAGCTACGAGGTTCGGGCTGCGTTTTACGGTTTATAACCCTTTCGGCTTTGTGAGTATTTGGTTCTGGAGAGAGGTGTGTTATCAAACTGTGAGTATCTGAATTAGTGTGTGGCAATAGTCTCTTATTATGCACTGTCTTTGTGGACGAACTGGTAGCCCCGCTTTTCAACTTCCTGGAATTGAGGCTGCTTGGATTGGGGAATACTGGGTGTGATGTACCGCAGTTTGTCACCGGGGTACAGGGATCGTTATCAGAGGAGTCTAGATCCACGGTGGATTTCCTTCTTAGTCTGTGGTTATACATCGATCCATTTTTGGATCTCATATTTCCACGGAAGTTCGTTTCCGAATACGATGTGCTTTGTACAGAAAGGTTCACACCCTTTTGCTCTGCCTCTACGGAATTGTGGGTGCTCAGGGGTGTTGTAGAGGATTTGGGATTCACAGTTTTAGCATCGGTCATATAAGTCATTCTTTGGATCGGCGTTTTGTCACGAGCTAACTTGATCGTGTGGTAACGCGTATTTTTTAGTAGGGTTTGCCTACTGTAAAAGATGTCAGCATTGGAGGACGAGTCAAATTTCAACACAAGTGGGCAAGATTTGTTCTTCTGAGACTTTTTTAGTCGATGGCAGCTGCATGGGACGTTATTCATAGAGCATGCATTTAAAAGAGTGTTTTTGACCTTGTTGATCTGTGCATTATCCGGTATATTATACACAATTATGTTCTTCTCGCGCACTACACGTTGATATACTTCAGTTGCAACGTAGTTTATAAGGTTTGCAGTTTGTGGTAACTTTCTAGGTGAAGTACTACTACTGCCAGTTTCACTAGGCAGTGCCAGTTTTGACATCTTAACTTCAAGCCCCCTAATTATAGAAAATAGTTCTTCGAATTTATCTTCACAACTAAGTGTAGAACAAAAAACTGGATTAGTGATGGGAGTAAGAATGTTTGCTGTGTGATTCTTATCGCAAGACGTTTTGCAGGTGTCTACGAGGCCTAGATCATTACATGTAGTATCACTGTGTATACCATCCATGATGTTGTTTACTACGCAAGCAAGTGAGGGGAGTTTAATGTCCGGACTTGACGTGTCTACCGCAGCAGACGTATATGTAGTTGTTAAATCAACAGATGTAGTGCTCTCACTTCCTGCAGGGCTACTTATTCTGTTTGGTTTGATTTTTTTACTGGGATGTGAAGCAGACAGTGGAGTTAGACGCTTAGTTTGGACCATTGGCATTTAGTACTAAGTTAAAATTCTTAATTATAAGAGAATGAGCAATGTGTCTGTAAGGTCCGTTTTAGAGTGTTGGGGATTTAAACTGTCTAGTTCTGTATGGAATTAACAGTTTAGACGAATAAAAATATTGAGATAGGATATTAAGATACCCTATAAAAATACTCTAAATGCGAAGATGCTATAACAGTAGCACTTAGATGGACACTATCTATAACGGATAATTTTAACCGTAAAAATTATATTCTATGTAAGAATAGAACTAAATATTTAATACTATCGTCGAGAGACCTATTAAAAAGTCGCCTGTGGACTAAAAAAAGAATTGAGAAATAACACGCGAAAAAGTAACAAAGCCTTTGAATTGCGCTCCGTGAATATGGTTTATCAAAAGTTATATCCGGTGAGGGAATTGAATCTTAGGTGTGAATGCACAAAATAATAATAATAATAATCATATGAAGTTCAATTAAAACTAAAATGTTTGTGATTATAATCGTAGTTAAATGTCAAGTGGCAAAGCAGATTAATGTCATATATAGAATAATTCATAGGAGGGATAGAACTTGAAAAAGGATGTGCAATTATAGGATTAGTAGGCAAATCGAATAAAACAAAAACGTTACGTAATATTGTGTGAAATTTAATAGCATAGAATTTATCGTTGTAAAAAGAATTGATTTAGAATGACAAGTGGAACAAGTGAAATAATACCGGGGACAGTTCAAAGTGAGAATAGTAATAATAACAATTGACTTAATAAGGAAAAGTATACAAATTGAATAGACAAAATGAAAAATGAAAAATTGGTAGAGCTAAAATATGATTGGGGATTACCATATTTTAGCATAGAGGGATTAAGACCATGAAAGTTGGAGGGGTTGAACGAACTTTTTCTGTACACAGAGTTCTGGCTTTTCTGTTTCGATAGCCAAAGCTTCAGCAATACAGATGAGTCGGGTACGTAGGGATTTAGGTAGATTGTTCTTTGCCTTGTAGACGACTTTAAAGGCGGAGGCTATAGAGATAGGGTGATCATTTTCGAACAGATGTTCTATGATCGCGCTTCTTATTGCTCCACTTTCACCTTTTCGTAGCCATGCAGGATAATGTTCTTGCACCCTCTTGGACAAAACTCGAGTCGAACGACCGATATACCTAGCTCCACAAGAGCAGGTGAATTGATAAACGCACATAGAGTTGGTCAACATTGGGATCTTGTCCTTCAGGTTATTGAACAATAATGGTCGGCTAGTAAAAGCTATTCTCAGGGAGGCAGCAGGGAATGTTCTTTTCAGGGACTGTGATATCCTTCGTTTCATGATATCGGAAGCTAAGTCCCCTTTGAATTCTAAGCTCATGTAAAGTATTTTCTTGGGAGCGGTTGATAAGTCACGTTTTGTAGGCTTTGAATCTATATTCTTATCTATAAAACGTGGTGGAAATCCATTTTCCATTAGGATTTTCCTCAAAGTGTATAACTCATCTTCCACAGTATCAGTGCTACATATGCGCCGAATACGAGTGGCAAGCGACCGGACCAGGTTTCGTTTACGACCAATAGGTACCCAGCTATAAAAATTTGTCAGTTGACCATTCCATAACAGCCTACGATAAATCGATCTCTTCAGAGTTACATCGGTCCTTCTTGATAAGTTCACATCGAGGAAATGAATGCTAGACTCGTTCTCCTTTTCGAGTGTGAATTTTATCGCAGGATGGCACTCATTAAATACACTTAATATATTATTCAGGTCACAATCAATATTACAAATAATAAAGGTGTCATCTACATACCTTTTATATATTTGAAAGCTTTGGATCATAGGCTTCAGGGAACCATTTTCTAGACTGGACATAAAAACGTCTGCAAGGAGAGGACCCAAGGGAGAACCCATCGCAATACCATCCTTCTGCCTGTAGATTGTTTCATTGAAAGTAAACTGTACATTCAGTGTACATCTCAAAAGTAGTTCTTTAAGATCTGTAGTAGGTATCCCTATGTTCAATTTGTTGTCTTCAATATATTTGCATATAAAACATATGGTCTCTGTCAGTGGAACGTTCGTAAATAAGGATTCTACATCCAAAGACAACATTTGTTTATTCGACGCATATATATATTATATATATGATTATATTATATATATTATATTATATATTATATATATATATATTATATTATTATATATATTATATTATTATTTTGTGCATTCACACCTAAGATTCAATTCCCTCACCGGATATAACTTTTGATAAACCATATATATACGACTGTACAGCTTGATGATAAATTCGTTGAAAAGAGTCTCTTCGCTGAATCACTTGTTTTGATTTTCTAAATGTTACAATGGGAATTTTCCATGAGTTAAAAAATAGCAAAGATCCCTTGACAGTAAAGGAACTCAACGGGTTCCTGCGTTATTCTGTCAAACTTGCCGTGGTGAATGCAGAGATTTGTTTTCTTAATGAATGCATCAATAATCATGAGTATCCGAAATGGTATTGGAAAGTGCTCCGACGCAATCACATATATCCTAATGCAAAATCTCTCAAGAGACACGCATTGAATCACATTGATTCTATCAGTTCACGTATCCCTGAGCTAGAAAGGAATATATCACAAAGATCTTCTGCTCTATATGACTTATCGGTTGATGAACGTCAGACGTTTAATGATTATGTCAATGTGGTCACCAACAAACAAACTATGTCTTTTAATTCGAAGCTATCTAATAGCCTAAAACCTATCGAACGTCTTCGAAAATTTCCTGAGAATTCGGAGAGATACGTGTTCAACCACTCCTCTATATCTTTATCGAAATTACAAATGGAAGCCTTGTCTATGGGCTCGAAGTTTTGAGATGTTAATCTCAATATCAACAAGCTACATACTCATGTCCAGTTTGAGAATTTACTCAGTCAAACCTATGATCTCACACCATCGTCAGACCAGGATTTCCAATGCTTCAAATCTACCATTACGGACTCCTGCAATCAATACCTAAATGCTAGATCAAAAATGCAAAGTCTTCTTACTAAACAGCACAAAGAAGAACTTAAGCTTTTGACGCAGAACAGCGATATACTATTAACACGCCCTGACAAGGGTACAGGTGTTGTTATTATGGATCGAAAAGATTATATCGATAAAATGTCATGTCTACTTTCAGACAGCAGTAAATTCTCGAAACCCAACGAGAAAAACAAGACGGAATTAATTGAGAAACAACTTACTGATACTTTAAAGAGAATGAAGAACAATCATCTCATTCGTGAAGAATTATACGAAAAGATCAGACCAACAGGATCACTAATACCAAGACTGTATGGTCTACCAAAAATACACAAAGCTGGAGTTCCACTTCGCCCCATCTTGGATATGTCTGGATCGCCCTATCATCCAGTAGCTGGGTGGTTAGCTGAAATCCTCGAACCAGTCAGGGGGCAACTATCTAATCATTCCCTTCGGGACACCTTCCAATTTGTTGAATGTATACAGGATATAAATGCGTCGAATAAACAAATGTTGTCTTTGGATGTAGAATCCTTATTTACGAACGTTCCACTGACAGAGACCATATGTTTTATATGCAAATATATTGAAGACAACAAATTGAACATAGGGATACCTACTACAGATCTTAAAGAACTACTTTTGAGATGTACACTGAATGTACAGTTTACTTTCAATGAAACAATCTACAGGCAGAAGGATGGTATTGCGATGGGTTCTCCCTTGGGTCCTCTCCTTGCAGACGTTTTTATGTCCAGTCTAGAAAATGGTTCCCTGAAGCCTATGATCCAAAGCTTTCAAATATATAAAAGGTATGTAGATGACACCTTTATTATTTGTAATATTGATTGTGACCTGAATAATATATTAAGTGTATTTAATGAGTGCCATCCTGCGATAAAATTCACACTCGAAAAGGAGAACGAGTCTAGCATTCATTTCCTCGATGTGAACTTATCAAGAAGGACCGATGTAACTCTGAAGAGATCGATTTATCGTAGGCTGTTATGGAATGGTCAACTGACAAATTTTTATAGCTGGGTACCTATTGGTCGTAAACGAAACCTGGTCCGGTCGCTTGCCACTCGTATTCGGCGCATATGTAGCACTGATACTGTGGAAGATGAGTTATACACTTTGAGGAAAATCCTAATGGAAAATGGATTTCCACCACGTTTTATAGATAAGAATATAGATTCAAAGCCTACAAAACGTGACTTATCAACCGCTCCCAAGAAAATACTTTACATGAGCTTAGAATTCAAAGGGGACTTAGCTTCCGATATCATGAAACGAAGGATATCACAGTCCCTGAAAAGAACATTCCCTGCTGCCTCCCTGAGAATAGCTTTTACTAGCCGACCATTATTGTTCAATAACCTGAAGGACAAGATCCCAATGTTGACCAACTCTATGTGCGTTTATCAATTCACCTGCTCTTGTGGAGCTAGGTATATCGGTCGTTCGACTCGAGTTTTGTCCAAGAGGGTGCAAGAACATTATCCTGCATGGCTACGAAAAGGTGAAAGTGGAGCAATAAGAAGCGCGATCATAGAACATCTGTTCGAAAATGATCACCCTATCTCTATAGCCTCCGCCTTTAAAGTCGTCTACAAGGCAAAGAACAATCTACCTAAATCCCTACGTACCCGACTCATCTGTATTGCTGAAGCTTTGGCTATCGAAACAGAAAAGCCAGAACTCTGTGTACAGAAAAAGTTCGTTCAACCCCTCCAACTTTCATGGTCTTAATCCCTCTATGCTAAAATATGGTAATCCCCAATCATATTTTAGCTCTACCAATTTTTCATTTTTCATTTTGTCTATTCAATTTGTATACTTTTCCTTATTAAGTCAATTGTTATTATTACTATTCTCACTTTGAACTGTCCCCGGTATTATTTCACTTGTTCCACTTGTCATTCTAAATCAATTCTTTTTTACAACGATAAATTCTATGCTATTAAATTTCACACAATATTACGTAACGTTTTTGTTTTATTCGATTTGCCTACTAATCCTATAATTGCACATCCTTTTTCAAGTTCTATCCCTCCTATGAATTATTCTATATATGACATTAATCTGCTTTGCCACTTGACATTTAACTACGATTATAATCACAAACATTTTAGTTTTAATTGAACTTCATATGATTATTATTATTATTATTTTGTGCATTCACACCTAAGATTCAATTCCCTCACCGGATATAACTTTTGATAAACCATTTATATACGACTGTACAGCTTGATGATAAATTCGTTGAAAAGAGTCTCTTCGCTGAATCACTTGTTTTGATTTTCTAAAGGTAAATACTCACATACCAACAGGACCATATGAGGAAATTGATAAATC